AAATTTCACAAAGTACAGTTTTTTTTTTTTTTGGATATTGAAGTGAAATACAATCCAGACATGTTCTTGACAGGTTCATTTAACATTCTCCTGCCATTTCAAAGGTTTCCACTATCCGCTGAGATGCTGATGCATCTGTAACATCTGTATTTATGATCTATGCATGTATCTGTCATACACGTTTATCAGATTGGACACATGTATGTTTCTGTACGACATGAGGTATGACAGAACCCGAGTGAGTCTGTAACAGGTGGTTAAATCCACCGACAGACACGAACCGCGCCGCATCTGAGCTGAATTCTGATGTGAGCGTGACTCATCACCTCCCAAGAGCCCCTTCAAACCAGCGCCATCATCAGCTATTGTCTTTCCACAGAGAAACAGGCCTGTTCATTTACCCTGCTAATGAATTCACACTCATTCTCATTACTAGCATTACAACTAATGCGGCCCATTAGAGTGCAGAATAAAAGCTCCAGGTGTATCAAATCAAATCTTTATTCATCAGCACATGACCAAAGATGGAGTTTTTGTCTGTGATTTTCAACATGACGTTGCCACACAATGACACCATGAACTTATGAAAGTTTCCCCAACATCAATAACCAATATAACTAGTAGCTACGGCAGATAGATGTGCATCACATTCAAAACAGGAATCACAGGAGGAGTAAATCTGAGATCTGCAGGGGTGATTAGAGGTGTTGTTTTGCTGGACACACAATTTTAGAAAACCTAATTAATGGCCGGAGAAAGAGTCAACAAGATGACACTGAAGAAATAAAAGCGTGCAATTAACGGACGGTCTGGCCTCAAGCAACTAAATCACATTAGAATAATGATTTTCAAAGCTCTGCTCTCTATATATAAACATCCCAAAATTAAATTACTAAAGATGCAGTCAAAAGTATTTACTAATTCCCTACTTAAAAATTTTTATGCAAATATTTTTTGTAACAGTGTAAAACAATGTAAAAGTACTGCCGCTTTTGATAAATTTAATGTGTCCTTGTTGATTACTAATTCCCTACTTTTAAAAAAAAAAAAAAAAAAAAATTATATTATATATTGTGATATATTGTAATATTTAATACTGTGATATTATATGTTATCTATTGCAGTATTTCATATTTAAATATTTTTATAATATTTAGCATATATTTTATTTTAATTCATTATGAAAAAATAAATGTATATCAGTCACAAGTTTGGACTAAGAGGACTAACTAAGACTCTTATGCACACCAAGGCTTTATTTATTTGATAAAAAAATACAGTAAAAACAGATATTAATATTAGTAGTGGCAGTATTTACAGTGTAATAATATTTTAAATAAATTATTAATAAATATTATTGTTAATTATTATTATTATTCATTTGTTATCAAAATTAAAATATTTATATTT